CTTTAAGAGTTTTTGCTAGAAATTATCTGTTGAATATTATCTAAAGAGTCAATAAGTGCCAGCAGCATGCAAGACCCTAAGCTAGATACTGTGAAGAATCAAAGAACTAGTAAACAGGATAGAGCTCTGTTCTCAAATATGTTATCTCACCAGGTAGATAAGACTTATAATAAACAAGAGGAATAAAAAAGGATTTGGAGATAATGGTCATTGTGATGGATAATCATGATTATGTTCCTCCCCACTCCCGAACAGATTTATTCTCATAGGACAGTACCAGAGGATGATAGAGAAGGATAAGTAACCCAAGGTAAGTATTTACCTGGCAATTTTTATTTTTTTATTTTATTATTTTTTTCTCCTTTTTGAGACCGGCCACACCGCGCTCAGCCAGTGAGCGCACCGACCATCCCTATATAGGATCCGAACCCGCGGTGGGAGCGCTCCCGCGTTCCCAGCGCCGCACTCTCCCGAGTGCGCACGGGCTCGGCCCTACCTGGCAATTTTTAAATTAGAATTTTAGAACTAGAGGAGAACATAAAATGTATCTATTTTAATTCCCTCATCTTACAGTGAGAAAACTGCCAGAGGCAAGAAGAATACTTACTTAACCCAGTGCTCTGCCTGACCCCAGCAACATTAGTTCACCAGGCAAAGCTGAGTTAGCAGGGAGTAGTAGGGACACATCTGCTGTCCTTCCAAGAGTGTAGAGGAGAGGTTTTGGCAGTGCCAGTTCCTTCTGGTGTGCAGTGGGCATCAGGCTGGAGGCCTTCTTGAAGGCTCTGGAGAGGGGGTAGGGAAGGCCACATGATGTTGAGATAATTCAAGGCTGATAGAAGGTAGAATACATGAGTCCATCCTCTAAAGTGGCAATAAAACTTACCTTCTTATCCTACTGGTTTTTGGGCCCCCACTCTCTATTCCTTTTATCCAAACCTCATAGAGTTTAACTAGGAGACCTTAGACAGTAGATTGTCTCTTTCTTTTATTATAAGGAAACAGAGAAGGTGAAAGGGAAAATATCTTGCTCCATGGTCACACTGTTAGTGAGTATCAAAAAGAGGATGATTCCTTTTCTAGCTGGGGATTTCTCCATTGATTATATTGTGCTTGGGCTGTGAGCTGCATTTTATATCACAAATCCTTACACACACACTATATGGATGTAAGTAGTTTGTGAAATGTGCACTGATTTTTTTCATATTCTGTTTGTACTCAGAATATTTTGTGTTTTAGTGCTAGTCATATCCTTTAAACTGGTTCCACAACTCACTCACTCATCAGTGACACTTTGTAGTATTAAAATCAATGAGCTAGATAACTTGGCTAGTTGAACCCAGGCATTTGCTTGATGTGATTCCACCTGCATGATAAAGCAATTCATCACCACCCTGCCAGAGAATGACGCATGTGAGACAAAACTCAGGGGACTGATGCAAAATGCTTCTGCCCAGTGTGACTGTGAGTTCTGTTCACTGCATGAGGGCACTTGGTCAAGGGGGTACGTGGGGCTGAAAGTCCTGCCTACACTCCATGCCACATACAAAGTTCTCCCCAGAGACATTGTGAGGCCCTTTTGGATATACACAGAGAGCTTCTGGAAGCCCAGCATGCATGAGATTTTTTTGAAGGTTCCTGGCCTGTGGTTTTGCTCATTGTTATTATGGGCTGAGGTGCACATTTAGCCCTAATAAGACCAGAGAGGTACATTGGGAGAGACATGGAAAATGGTGTGAATCACTAATTGTCTTGTGCATGTGTTTTCTCTCAAGGAGCTTTTTCAGATTTCTGCTGCATAGAAGATGCTCACAGCAAAATGACTCTCAGGAAAATTTGAGAATGATTCACTGCTGTGTCCAGAGATAGCAGGGAAAATGCAAAATTAATATTTCCCCTTTTTTTTTCTAGGAGGGCTTTTTCTGGTTAAGGTGGCCACTTTGTCTTAGGGATACATATAGACCTCTCAATGCTACGTGCAAGAAAAAACATGGCCTGGAAGCTACATGGCAAGGTCTTCTGACGAGGATGAAACTTTCAACAGGGATGCAGGGTAAATGATTGGGGACAATTTAAAATTTGTATCTACAATGAGTAGATGAAATAAAAATAAAACTTTTCGGCCGGCCCGGTGGCGCACTGCTACAGTGCACCGCTTGAGAGCGCAGCAGCGCTCCCGCCGAGGGTTCGGATCCCACATACAGACCAGCCGCTCACTGGCTGAGCGAGGGGCAGGCACAACACCGAGGGTTGCGATCCCGTTGCTGGTCCCGGTCCGGTACGGGTGCGACACTGAGGGTTGCGATCCATTGCCGGTCACAAAAAAAGGGAAAAAAAAAATAATAATAAAATAAAACTTTTCATTATTATTATTTTTTGGCAGCTGGCCAGTAAAGGAATCCAAACCCATGATCTTGGTGAGGTAAGGCTGAGCTAACCAGCTAAGCTAACTGGCTAGCCCATTAATTGCTCTTTTCAAGAGTAAAAGCCTTGAAAAAAAATAATAATAATAAAATAAAATAAAATAAAACTTTTCATTATTATTATTTTTTGGCAGCTGGCCAGTAAAGGAATCCAAACGAAAAAAAAAATAATAATAAAATAAAACTTTTCATTATTATTATTTTTTGGCAGCTGGCCAGTAAAGGAATCCAAACCCATGATCTTGGTGAGGTAAGGCTGAGCTAACCAGCTAAGCTAACTGGCTAGCCCATTAATTGCTCTTTTCAAGAGTAAAAGCCTTGGCAGTGTTCCTCTTACCATAGGGAACTCAGAGAAGCCCATGTACATAGATACCCCTGACGAGGATGAGGAAAGCAAGGTGCCCAAGGACAACACAGAGTGACCCCATCCTGTTACAGGCCACCTGCGAATTTTATTTTGTTATATTGGCTTCTCAGCATTGCTTGCAAAATACTTATTTTTCTCATACTAAAATCGATAGAATTCATAACCAATTCTTGTCATGCGGCAAGAAATTAAAATGTCAATAGTTAAATATTTATATGCAAATAACAAGGGCCATAGGCAAGAAAAGCAGGACTGAAGACGGAATCTCTCACTGGAGCCAGTGGTCCCACAACAGGGAATGTGGGCAAAGAATGAACAGGGCTTCTATCCCTCATTTCCCAATGTAATCAGTTTCTGGGAGCCTTGAAAATATGTCATCCTCAAGATTTTTAAATCAAATACCAGTTGTTTTGTTGCTCTCTCCCCTGGTTTATCAAGAACCAGTCATTTACAACATACTTGACTTCCTTCCCACAGGGGATCATCCACCTTCTAGGCCCCCTCGTTGGTCTTTGGTCTTTGAGGTTGTCAGAGTATTTGGATTACTGAGCCTACTTGCACTGTGAGGCCAAGTCCTTCCTTTTCTCCCAAGCGCTCAAACTCATGCATGAATATGTGTCCTGCCTTCGTAAGGAGTTCTCCACACATAAAAGGTGGTGGAAAATTCACACTGGTTTTCTGTTTCTCTTTTTAAAAATCCCAACCCTTGCATAGCTAGCAGGGAGGTGCTAGAGGGACAGGATAAAGAAGAATGTATGAGAGCAGTAATTTCCCAAGTTTGCCCTCTTCAGGCCTTTACTTCAGAAAACATATTGGTGGGGCAACATCTCCAGTCATATCACTGCCCTTGCCTCTCCTGACCCCACTGCAGGTCAGGTATGTGCTGTCCAGCTCCCTCCAGCTCTGCCAGTACCACGCCTACTCACTTCCTATCTCACCCCACACAGATCCATGCCTGCATGATCCCAAGTGATAACACAAGTACAATTTGCAGAAAATGAAAGTCTTCCTCCACTCCATTTTCAAAGAAAAAGCCATTAATAAATCACATTTAGTAAGTCAGTGAAAGTTAAACACATTAGTAAAAGAAAATCTGAAGGAATTAGAATAGATAATCCACCTATCTGAGCACCAATCAACATCGGAAGTTCAGTAACATGGATGAAGAATGATGCCAGCCATAGGAGAATGACATGGAGCCCCCAAGGAGCAGCAAGACACACTGGGGACAGCCCATCAGTTCCTTATCTGGTTGATCAGCTTGCTTGATGCTGGGCAAGAGATATCTGTTCTCTTGATGCCTGCCAAACTTACCTCCCAAAGTGTCTTACTGGGAATGAAGAACTTAGTATTTCTCTAAGTGGTGACTTCAGTGAGCCAAGAAATATTTACTGAGTTTAAAGTACAAGACTAAATAGTAATAATAATAGGAAGCAGCAGCCAATTACAACCTGCTTAGTTGGTGCCAAGCCCTGGCTGGCTTAGGCATTTTGCAGTCTTAAATCATTTATCCCAACAATCCATGGAAGCATAGTCTTATTTATCATCATTTGACAAATGAGGAACCAGGGCTAAAAGAATGTACATAACCTGACCAAGTGCCCAAGGCCACACACCCATCATGATGAGTTAGTGTCTTAGACTTGAACTCGCTAACAGGCTGCTAGACTCCAAGGCCTCTTAACCATTACACCACCCTGCTGTAGAGTATAGGTATATAAAGAAGTATAAACTGTAGTTTCTGTCATAGAGTCAATAGTAATAATACTGGTAGTGAGGAGGATGGCAGCTACTGTTTATTGAACACCAGCTCTGGGCCAGGTATAGTAGTAGGCACTTTATACTAAGTCAGAAGAACAGAAACTCCCATGTCAGCTTAAACTCTATTATAGAGTGCTGGGGTATTGATTTTAATAAGAGTGTTGGACATAAGCAGGGAGCTGACAAGAAACCAAGAACAGAGATCCTTGTACTGCTGGGCTTCCCAAAGTCTAGACTGGTATTCCAGGTAACTCCAGATTTCTATTTTGGCATATTTACATTATTTAAAACTTGGTATGTACACAAACTGAAGCTTAAATAATATTTTTTGTGCAACACTGTCTCACACTTGTACAATTATTAGTCTCAAATGCTACCTTACCATATTTCTAAATTAAAACTCCCAAGAGAGATTCTGCATTGCCCAGCTTGTCCCAGATTGGGCAATGTTTATGCCTGAGCCCATAGTTTTCACCTGGCCAGCCTGTGGGATGAACGGTCCCTCCTTGGGCCAGGTGTGCACTCTTGGCTGTAGCCTAGAAAGGGGAGGGGTAGTCAGGTGGCACAAAACACAGCTGCCATGGCTGCCTCTTTCTCCATCTTACTGGTGGGCAAACTACAGCTCAGAAAACCAGCTCTTAACTGAGACCTGATTGATGGAGACAGATGGACACAAGGCCAACAGCTAGTAAATGAATAAAATTTCTCACTGATTCTGATGAAACCTGTCAGACAGATATTTTTTAAAAGATGATGAAATGAGGCATTATATGGTTAGGGCAAAAATGATACAGAAAAGAAATGTAGCATTTCAGAGGAGGGAAGATCAAGTGACCTAAGGAGAGCCTGTAAAAATGAGGGACCCTGAGCTGGGCCTGGGTTATATGCCAGACAGTATGCCTTGTGCTGGAGAACGAGCTGACAACTAGGACAGAGGCCTTCAAGGGGCTTGTAGACTGGGAAGAGAGACAACCATCTGAATATGGAGAAGAACATGTGTTAGACAGGACAGTGGCAGTGGACCAAGATGTGGCTCAGCTCTTGGTTGGCTGGAAAGGAGTAAATGTAAGGGATGGCTCAGATGAGGGGAAGTGGAAGAAAAGTTTTTAGCTGAGAAAAGGAAGGAAAATCATGCTAGACAGTATGAAGGCAGAGGAGCACAAAACCTTGGGGCATGCCAGAACTGCACGCAGGCTGGTATTATGGAGCATGAAGTGCAAGGAGCAAAAGGCAGTACATGCAGCCACACAGGCAACAGAGAGCCAAGTCCCCAACAAGAGACTATTGTCACCCAGGAAATTCCAAGGGACTTAGGAGCTCTTTGTCAGGACTGGGGCTAGAGACCAAATGTTAGAACAGAAGATGCTCCTAACACCCTATTACTCAGAAAGTTACAGGGATTTAGGAGCTCTGTGCCAGAAACCAGAGACAGAGACAACATATGTATTTCTTATGTTACATGACACAGGAAAACAAAAACCACTCTAGGTATTTCAAACAAAAAGATTTTATACAGGCAATTAGTGCTTATCACTGGAGGGGCTTGAGGTGGGAAAAGTTGGGGGTGGCATGAAGGACTATTTTACCACAGCTGATTTCCAGAGAATCAAAGAAGTCAGGAAACTTCAGAAAACCACACTAATGTCANGCTAGAGACCAAATGTTAGAACAGAAGATGCTCCTAACACCCTATTACTCAGAAAGTTACAAGGATTTAGGAGCTCTGTGCCAGAAACCAGAGACAGAGACAACATATGTATTTCTTATGTTACATGACACAGGAAAACAAAAATCACTCTAGGTATTTCACACAAAATATTTTATACAGGCAATTAGTGCTTATCACTGGAGGGGCTTGAGGTGGGAAAATTTGGGGGTGGCATGAAGGACTATTTTACCACAGCTGATTTCCAGAGAATCAAAGAAGTCAGGAAACTTCAGAAAACCACACTAATGTCATTGCAGCCACATGGTCCCCAGGCTGGTGACTGGTGGGGGAATGTGGAGTCCAGCTGGCCACCAGAGCTTGCATGTCTGCTCCTCCAGAGGGTGACTTCTACTTCCTCACCAACTTCCAGATTTCACATGACTACATTTTATTGGTAGCACCCTGCTGGCAAGTGAGTCTTGAAGTGTGGTTCCTGGACTTCTGGCACCTGCATAGACAGTGCTGGGAATGGGTGCCAAGAGGCAGCCAACACTCTGCAGCACACCTCCATATCCAGGTGTGGCAAGGAGGTGTAGGCTTATGGATGTCCAAGAAGAGGGGTCTATGTGGAGTGACAAGATAGAGACCAAGCTAAGTCAGAGTCCCAGGAAGATGTCATTATGGCTGGGCAACAGGTGAGGTGCAGGTTGCTGATGGCATGCAGTCATCCTCAGAGGTGATTGGAAAAATGTGTCAGATTGGTCCTTAGTTTGTTCTGGAATGTTCTCACTGCAATAAAAGCTGGGTGATCTGTAGACCATACAGTATCAGAGAAAATGTAGTCTCTGTTTAAATGGGCTGCCTGAGAAAAGGTGTCCAGAAGGAAGCACAATTTCTGAAAATATAGTCTATGGAATTCTATCCTCAAACATCACTGGGATGCTTATTTAAATGGCTGGTCCACAAAACCTCCCTTCCAACCCATCTGCTGTCCCTCCTGAGTCAATCTCTGAGACAAAGGGACCTATTTTAACAAACTGGGGCTGGCCCCGTGGCTCACTCGGGAGAGTGTGGCACTGGGAGCACCAAGGCCATGGGTTCGGATCCTATATAGGGATGGCCAGTGCGCTCACTGGCTGAGCGCGGTGTGGGCGACACCAAGCCAAGGGTTACGATCCCCTTACCAGTCACAAAAAGAAAAAAAAACTGTTTCATGTTCACTAAACTACTGACATATGATGCAGAGGGCTGGGAGGAAGCAGAGGTTATCTGGCAGGAGATGAGAGTGGAGAAGGCAGAACAGGGTGGTGTGAGGAAGACTGGATTCTCACCTCAGACTCTGAACACAAGTAACACTACCACTGCCACTGCCACTGCCACCCCCACCCTGGAGTCAGGGCCTCTCACTCCTGGGGAGCAACAGGCTCTACTGGCTCTGGCTCCTGACATCTCGGTGGGAGTGAGAGGCTGTTGAGACCTGGAGGATGGGAGCAGGAGGAGCAGACCCATTCAAGAAGAGGAAAAATCTGAGGCCTGAAGCACAAGTGGAAACAGTGGTTGGAGCTGAGGCTGTGTGTGTTGGAGGGTGATGTTGGAAAGAGGGTTTGGCACCACACTACGAGTGTTTTGGCTCACAAGGCTGAAGG